TGGATCTCAAGTCTGGTTATCACCAAATACTGCTGCAACCAGAAGATAGATACAAGACAACTTTCAGGACACATCAAGGCCACTATGAATGGTTGGTAATGCCATTTGGGTTAACCAATGCACCAACAACATTCTAGAGTCTCATGAATCAAATTTTTCAGCATGCTTTGAGAAAATACGTGCTAGTATTTTTTGATGACATACTAGTATATATCCCTACCTGGCAGGAGCATTTGAATCATTTGGATAATGTATTAGGCATACTACAAGCCAATACAATGTTTGTCAAACTGCCTAAGTGTTCCTTTGAAGTTTCAGAGATCCAATACCTTGGACATGTGGTAACTGGACATGGTGTTTCCATGGACAAAGATAAAGTACAAGCTGTCCAAGAGTGACCCTTACCTAAAAATGTGAAGCAATTAAGAGGGTTCCCAGGTCTCACAGGCTACTATAGGAGATTTATAAATTTTTATGTTAAGATTGCTGCCCCATTGACTGATTTACTAAAAAAAGAAAGTTATGTGTGGAATGAACAAGTTGAGATAACTTTTAATCAGCTGAAAATTGTCATGATTTCTGCTCCTGTGTTAGCCTTGCCTAGTTTTCAAAAACCCTTTATTTTAGAAACAGATGCTTCGGGTGTAGGGGTGGGTGCAGTGTTGCATCAAGATGGGCACCCCATTGCTTATTTTTCAAATAAAATAGTCCCTATAAATCAAAAGAAATCGGCTTACTTTAGGGAAATGTTAACTATATCTGAAGCAATAGCTAAGTTCAGACACTATTTGTTGAGGCATAGATTCATCATTCGTACCGATCAGAAGAGCTTGAGGAGTTTAATGGATCAGTCTTTACAGACACCAGAACAACAACAATGGTTGCATAAATTCTTGAGTTATGACTTTTCCATAGAATACAAGTCAGGTAAAGAAAATCTTGCTGCAGACGCACTGTCTATATTAATGACATTATCATGGTCTGAGCCATAGTGCCAATTTATTCAATCAATCAAAGAAGGGCTGGAAGTAGGTAGTCAATGGAAAGAAGTTATAGATAAATGCATACAACAGGGCAATGCTTATTTACACTACACTTTCAAAGAAGGCTTACTATATTGGAAGAATAGAATTGTCATCCCTCAATATAAAGATTTGGTTCAACGAGTCTTAAATGAATTCCACTCATCTTCAATAGGTGGTCATGCTGAAATTACTAGATCTATGGCCAGAATTAAGGCTCAATTCTATTGGCCTGCCATGAAGAAGGATGTATCTCAATATGTACAAAACTGCATGGTGTGTCAACAGGCAAAAATGTACAGTACCTTGCCTGCTAGATTACTACAGCCATTGCCTATACCATCACAAGTTTAGGAGGATGTAGCCATGGACTTCATTATTGGCTTACCTATGTCTTTTGGTTATACCACTATTTTGGTAGTCATTGATAGGCTGATAAAATATGCTCATTTTGTACCAATGAAAAGTGACTACTCTAGCAGATCGGTTGCTGAAATCTTCATGCAGAATATGGTGAAATTACATGGCATGCCTAAATCCATCGTGTCTGATAGAGATAAGGTGTTCACAAGCTCTTTTTGGCAACATCTATTCAAGTTACAGGGCACAACATTAGCAATGACTTCTGCTTATCATCCTCAATCGGATGGTCAATCTGAAGTTCTTAACAAGGGATTAGAGTTGTTTCTTAGATGCTTCACATTCCATAATCCTAAGTATTGGTTTAAGGCTTTATCATGGGCAGAGTTTTGGTACAATACATCGTTACAAACGAGCATTTGAATGACTCCATTCAAGGCTCTATATGGGAGAGATCCACCAACTCTGACATGGTACGAACCTCATGCTAATGACCCTCCAACACTTCAAGAAGAGTTGATGGAGAGAGATAGATTACTGCAGCAGTTGAAAATGCAACTGGAAAGGGCTCAACAATATATGAAAAAACAAGCTGATAAACATAGACTAGATGTGACCTTACAAGTAGGTGAATTGGTCTTGGTAAAACTTCAGACATATAGACAATAATCTGTTGCATTGAGAAAGAATCAGAAGTTGGGAATGAGATACTTTGGACCGTTTGAGATCATAACACGAGTGAGAGAGGTTGCTTATAAGCTCAAGCTGCCTGAACATGCCAAAATCCATCCTGTCTTCCACATATCCCAGCTAAAGCCATTCAAAGGTGTGCCACAAAATCAATACATGCCATTACCACTCACGATTTCAGAGAATGAACCTATCATACAACCCAAGGAAGTATTACAAGCTCGTACCATAGTCAAGGGTAATCAGGAAATTCATCAGGTCCTAGTCCAGTGGGATCAACATACAACATCTGAAGCAACTTGGGAAGATGTTGATGACTTGCAAAAGAAGTTTCCTTCCTACAACCTTGACGACAAGGTTGTGTTTAAAGGGGATGGTATTGTAATGAGACAAAAGGATAAAAGCCTTCTAGAAACAGAAGGTGAGTCAGCAAATCCGTTAGAGGGCCCACAACAAGTGGAGGAAAAGGATGATGCTAGTACTGGTGGTGGAATGTTACCACGTAGAGGAGAGAGAACGAGAAAAACGCACAGCATGTGGAAGGAATTTGTGAAACTGTGAGGACAACTACATATAGTGGCCAAGGGGACTAATTAGGGTTTTTATGTGATTGGTGAAGTTGTCATTCTTCTCCCTTAAAACTCTCTTTTCACATCTGTTTGTAATTCTGCACTCCAACTGTTTGATAAAAATTTTCATAACAAAACTTCATTCTCATTATCATTGTAATTGTTAGAACTTGGTTACTGTTACATTGAATATTGTTTGCAGTACTGTTTGAAATTATCATTATAAAATAATATAAATTATACTTTATACTCAGAATCATGATCACACTTTATATACACCAAAAGTGCATTAAGCACATGTTACATATAGAATGAATACAAAGAGGCAAGTAATAGTATGAAATCATTTTTAATAAAATGGTTGTACATGATAAAGGAAAAATGATAAAACATAATAAATAAGAAATTACATCAAAAAAAAAAACTAAAATAAGGATATACTTTGATTGTAAAGCCAAACTTCAAGATAGACAATGGTATGAAGAATACATATTAATTATATATAGTGTGAATAAGTACAAATATTTCCGGTCTATAATCCACCCATTCAACATGACACTATATTCCACTCATTCAACACGACAATTAATGAAATAAAAACTATAGTTTAATATGTACACATTCACTGTTGTTCCAAATGAATGAGTATACTAGAGAGAATCTGAAAAAATTAAAACTTAATTGATGTCTGACAGTCTCATAATTAAAAACCACTGTGAAGAGAAATTGATAATGACTACCAAATTAACAACACATAAAATACACAAAGATACATCTAAATTTTTATTTGGATGTCTCATAATTCTTACTTTCCACTTAACAAATCTGATGTTAATACTATTTGATTTACTCATAAAGATAATGATAATCACACACACATAAACACAACTCAAAGATTCAATAGTGAAAGGAGAGACAACTTACAATCTAAAGATTCAAAGTTGATGTGAAAGAGAAATTTGTAGTAATTACCAAAGAGAGAGAGGTGATTTGCAAGTGAAATAGAGAATTTGGTTAGAAGTTAACGATAATTAAGGAAGAAAAATAGAAAATGTAGAAGTTTTAAATTGAGAAATGAACGGTTATTATGTAGAAGTTTTAAATTGAGAAATAAACGGTTATTATTTAATGTGTGTATTTGGTAGTTTTAAAATAATAGTTAAATGGCATAATAGGTTAAAAAAATAGGCTACACCAAACTATTGTTTTTCTTTATATATTGTTATAATTAATGCATCTTACCTATATATAGTCCAAATACATTATTTATTGAATGAATTTAAAAAATTAAAATTTACTTATAAAAAAGAGGAGGGAATATTACTTTAAAAAGAGTTGAATGTGTAGTAATTTATGTTTGAATTCATTTATATAAAATTGAGATAAATAATAAATTTCAATATAAAAATTGCATTTAGACTACAAAATTACAATTAATTATATAAACAAAATTAATTTTACATTTTTACTCAAGAGCAATCAACCGAATTTACTCTTTTAGGATCAAATCTTGATTATTCAAATGTGAAACCAAACATATATTTAACCAAAGTAGCATGCTTTCTCAACTCACAAAACAATTACCAACCCAGCAGAACAGATAGATTCCAGTAGTTGGTAGGCAATTGGGATCAAGCACCTCAATGAAGCACCAGTTCACCTTTTACGTCTTCATTTCTCATAACTTTTGATCACATATGTAACAATAATTTGAATTTAAATCAAAATAATGTGCCTTGAAGCATTCAAATTCTTTCCCCTTTAGATTTTTTTCTTCCACTTCTTATGCTTTCCTCGTGAAGCTGCGGAGGTGGCGTGCGGCTGCTTCTGTACTGTGGTTGTCCCAAAAATGAGCGAGAAAATGGAAAATTAAAAAATTCAAATGATCAAAAATTGCATTATTTTTTGTCTCTTGTAGACCACATGGAGGTCCATGATAAAAGCAACCCTGGGAAAGTGTATTAGCATTTTCGGTTCACAAAAATGAAGTTCAAGGCCGTGCTTTCTAGCATCTTGGCTCATTCTAACAAGTGAAACAACAATAGAAAGTTAAGTAATTGAAAGCACAGAAACTTGAGGGAATATACTGCACAGGTATATGAAATGATCAAGTCCTAGCTCTGCCAATACCCTGTTTTTTCCAAATAAATGGTATGTGACACATGTCATTAATATTGAAGCATAAAATAATTTCTTTGAATGTGACATGTAACATGTTTTGATGTTAAGCAACTTATGCATGGGAGGAGAAAGGGGCTTTCCTACAGTAGAAAGTATTTACTGAAAATGACTGCAAGTTAGCAAAATCTTCAGCCATGTCTTTCCTCTAAAAATACAGCATTGTACTCACAAGATGTCATTACCAGTAGTCTTTACAGGAACAAAAACCACCTCTAAAATGGTGAAACCGACTACGATCCCTGACAACAATCTCTCTATCATAAACCTTTGATATGAGTTTGATAGCCATATGACAATCTGCACAGACTCTTAAATTCTTCACGACCCTGATTGGAGTCCCTGGTGCTGTATTCAAGAGCATAAAAGCAATTGCAACTTTTTCACTATGATAAGACAAAGCTTGTTCCTTCTCCTCTTCCTCTATGTCCGCAAGCACATTTGCGGTATGAGGCACATAACCTTCTAGCTTCAACAATTCTGTGATCTTCTCTAGCAGTGCATACACATCCTGACTCCGAGGATGAGACCTATCCCCCATGGTAAATTCAAAAACGCGGTTTCCCAATTCAACAAGACTATAGCCAGGCGTTTTCCATACTCCGTCCTCTATCATTGACCTCCTCACTGTCTGTACATCAGACCAACGACGTTCAGAGGCATAAAGATTTGAGAGAAGCACATAATCCCCGCTGTGTTTAGGCTCTAACTTCAAGAGGTGGGATCTCGCTATCTCTCCCAAACCCAAATCTCCATGTATTGTACATGCCCCTAATAAGGTCCTCCAAATAACAGCATTTGGCTGCATTGGCATATTCTGAATATATTCATAAGCTCGTTTCACTAAACCAGCCCTACTCAATAGATCCACCATACAACCATAATGCTCTATCCTTGGCATTATACCATACTCCTCTTTCATCCTTCTAAAATAATTGAACCCTTCATCCAACATCCCACAATGGCTGCAAGCATAGAAGACACCAACAAAAGTGATCTCACCAGGCACAAGCTCTTGCCTTTCCATTTCTTTGAAAAGCTCAAGTGCTTCCTCACCAAACCCATTAACAGCCAAACCAACAATCAAAGAAGTCCAAGAAACCACATTCCTCTCACTCATCTCACTAAACACTTGTTGTGCCTCTCTTATGCTCCCACATTTTGCATAAAAGTCCAACAACGAATTATTCACATGCATATTCTGTGTCAACCCAACCTTCAACAAATACACATGAACCCTACGCCCTAACTCCAGAGCTCCAAGCTCAGCACAAGCAGACAACAAACTAACCACAGTGAAACCATCTGGCTCCACACCTTCCAAACTCATTTCCCTAAACAAAGTCAAAGCTTCATTAGGCCTTCCATTAAGAGCAAACCCATTAATCACAGAATTCCAAGCAACTAAATCTCGTTGATCCATTGACACAAACACCTTGTGTGCACTTCCAGTGTCACCACAAGCAGCATATATATGAAGCAAACTATTCCTAACAAAAATCAACGACTCAAACCCATTTCTTATAGTAACAGAATGAATCGCTTCCCCTTCTCTAACATTCAATGACTTTGAAATAGCCTTAAGAAGAAAAGGGTAAGTATGAGTATCAGGTTCAACGCATGAAACCAACATTTTACGGTAAAATGGGAGTGCAGGAGTAGAGTTATCACATTCAGCGTAACCCCGAATCATGGTGTTCCAAGTAAACACATTTGGGTTATGTAACATGGTGAAAATGTTGTGAGCGTAAGACATGGGTGCGGAGAGTGAAACAATAGTGAAAATAAGGTACTTTCCGATGTCGGGGTTGTTGAGTGGGACATTGTGTCTTATGGAAAATGCATGGATTTGTTTTAGTTTGTGTTTGGAAGAGGCGCAGTATTGTAAGAGAGCAATGCATTTTGTGAGAATGTGTGATGTTGGGTTTTGTGGAGTGGTTGAAAAGAAGGATGAAAATTTGAAGGAAGGTGAATGGTTTTTGGGGTTGTGGAAGAATGAGGAAAACTTTGAGGATACGTTCATTTGTTTCATGTGATGAAATCAAATTTGTTGCAATAAGGAATCAAACTAAGTTTGAACCTTAAATCTCAATTTTAGTGTCGGGATCATTTCAACTTTTAAATTGTTTAGTTTTAGTTTTATTGATTTGATTTGTATTTGGGTTAGTTATAATTAAAAAATAAAAGAGAGAGAAATTGAATTTATTGAGATTGAGAATTTTTGTTATAGATAGTTCAGTTATTTTCTCTCTCTCTTTTTACAAATTTTTTCGAACTTTATCATTTTTGTGTGTGTATTAATGGAGTTTTATTGTCAACTCTAACAATTGGTATCTATAGTTTGGGTTGTATTTAAATTGTTTAGTTTTAGTTTTATTTGATTTGTATTTAGGTTTGTGCTAGTGTATATATATTGAAAGTTAGTTTCAATTGAAAAGAGAGAAACTAAATTTGTTGAGATTGAAAATTTTTGTTCTACTTAGTTACGTTATTTTTCTTCTCTCTTTACAATTCTTTCGATCTTCATCTTCTTTTTCTCGTGCATCAATGGAGTTTCATTGTTAACTATAATAATTGGTATCTAAAGTTCTGGTTGGATTCACACGGAAATACGATGTACGTGAGGTATGTGATTGATTTTGTCCCTCAAATTCACATTGAATTGAAGATCAAAATTGAAGAGGATCACAATCTTGATTCTCAGGGATTGAAAAACACGAGTGTTGGTGAGAATTGAGCGATTTGCACAATAACGAAGATGAGCGGTGAAAACGGTAGTTTGAATACAAAGCTTTAAGTATAAAGAATTGAAATCGATGGTCAATTTAGATGCGTGTGTTGTTTGACGCTCAAGATGTGCTTGAGCTTGTCAATGATGGTTACACACCAGTTGCAAAAAATGCAACAGAAGCAAAAATAAATAAACAATGTGAAGCGAGGAAGAAATACTAGAAGACATTGTTCTATATCCATTAGTGTGTGGGTAGGAAGGTGTTTGAGAATATTGTCGACTCAACGACGACGAAGATAGTGTGGGATACACTTGTGCGGTGTTATGGTGGCGACACATCGGTGAAGAAAGTAAAGTTGTCGTCCCTATGCAAGCAATACGAGAATCCCAACATGAAGAACTATGAGAAGGTGTCTAATTACATCTCCAAAGTGATTGTGATCACGAATGAGATGAAGTCTTATGGAGAAACGTTCTCTGAATAAGTAATCATTGAAAAGATACTAAGATCACTTACTCCTCAATTTGATTACATAGTTGTAGCCATATAACACTCGAAAGACACCAGCACCATGAGAATTGAAGAGTTGTAAAGTAGTTTAGAGGGACAAGAATTGCGTTTGACTAAAAGAAACTCTGAAAGGGAAATAAAACAGACTCTGAGAGCTTCTTTTGTTAAGAAGAACGATAAGCAAACATGGCTAGAGAACAAGAAAAAGAATGGTGGTGGTGCTCAACATTCAGAACTCTCCAATCAAGATGAGAAGAAACATAAGAATGTTCAGAAGGGAAATGGGAAGTTTGATAAGAGAAAGTTTCAGTGTTCCAACTGTAACTGGTTTGGCCATTTCGCTGTTGATTGATGGTCAAACAAAGAAAGCAAGGTGAAGAATAACATATCCAAAGGAGATTTTGAGAATGAACCTGTGCTATTGATAACATATGAGAATGAAGGTGAAAAAATGATGGACTGGTGGCATATGGACATCGGCTACTTAAATCACTTAACTAGAAATAAGCAATGGTTGGTTGTTTTGACTCTAGTAGAAAGACCAAGATCAAGTTTGATGATGATGAGTATCTAAATGTTGAAGGAATGAGAAATGTCAAAGTAAAATTAAAGAATGTTAAAAATGTACTGATCAAGGATGTATGGTATGTTCTTGACATGAATAACAATTTGATGAGTGTATGTCAATTGCTTGAAAGTAACCATGAAGGAAAATATCTTGAAGTTGTAGGACAGTGTTTACTGTGAAATTTAGTAAACAAATACAAGTTCATATTAATACTTAAGAGATCAAACTCGAAAATATCCCAAACATGTTTATGTGCGCGTTACTCGTGAAAATCCTAGGGCTTGTCGAAGTTAACATAAACTCGAGCAAGTGTATGAAAATGTTTGTGATCTCTTAAAATAATGATGCAAGGTAAAAAAAGATTTAAAGTTAAGCGAGAGACTTAAAATTAAAGTGCAAGGAAACGTAAAGTTGCGTGAAAAATAGAGGAAATCAAAAAAGCTTAAATGCATAAAAGAAAGACTTAAGATAAATTTGTTGAAACTGTATAAAATGGTGGAACGCGTACGTACATCTTCCTTTTATTCATTTCTCACAACACAAGTACTTTGAGTGTTTTAGAAACGTGTACAATTTGCAGACCCCTTATAAAATAAACCCATGTACCTATATATACAACACTAAGATAACTACCTAAGCATGATAAATTACTCCCATCGCGACACGTTTTCAGATCGTGTAGCATTTTCTCCGATGTGCCCCACGTTCTCTAAGTAACCATCGACGCTGATATAGTAGTTCCCGCCTTGTGGTATCATTTAAACTTCTTAACTATTTTATTGGCGCCAAGAACTGAATATCCCCATTGAAGCCTTCAACGTCTAACACATTAATGTAACATGTTTCGTCATATTGTCCATTACAGTGATGTACTCCACATGTGGTGACTGAGTTGCCATTACTTCCATTATAATGATGAACTCCAACCTTAGCCAACATGACATAGTATTCAATTGTAATGATGAACTCCAACCTTAGCCAACATATCATAATATTCAATTGTAATGATGAACTCCAACCTTGGCCAACATGGCACAATATTCAATTTCATTAAGTGGCTAACATAGAATAGTACTCAATTTCACTAAGTTCCCATGACTCCCACTATGCCTTTCGACGATGTCTCATTCGATCAGTATCCCCTTACGTGATTCCTGACCATGAGTCATTCTGATCAAGTTTGACCCATTGTATTTTATTTTACATGTGGCACATTTATGGCTGATCTCATTGAATACTTGCCATTTATAGTTAAGTAGAAAAATCTGGTGTAACAAATTTCCCCTCAAAAGGTCATGTTTCGATTTGTATCAAACAAAAGAGATGCGGCCTTTTTTACTACAAATTTTCGACGCTGTTTCACGTTTGCTAACGTCATTGTCAACATTTCTCTTTTTGTGGCGCATTGTCGCTTTTAAGAGATTCGCTCAAAATTTCATCATCACTCATCATTCCTACTTTCTATAAAGACGTGGGTTTTCACATTTTATAGTAACTGCTCCCACTCCTCATTAATGATTGCATTGGAACCCCATACAATCTCTTCAATCACTCCCACGCCGTTTCCAGTTGTCAGATTTGGAACATGCAATGAAGACTAAAAAATGTTCTCCTCAGCTCTTCACTTCCTTTTTTTCTACTTCGTCGTTTTGCATTCTTTCTTATGCGCAAAAAAAACTTCAAACCCTATTTCGCCATCTATGTTCTAGAAAAACTTTTTTCCCTCACCATGACTAAGAGCAAGGTTTACTTTAAGCCCTCTACTGGTAACAATCCACTGGCTTTCATCATTCTTCCTTCTGAAAACAAAGAGGTGAATGATTTCATTCATGAACCTTCCTTTGATAATAACAAAATTGTCGTCTGGCAGAAATAAATTGTAACACCCGAGGCCGAAGAAGGAGGAGAGTGGTTACATGTAACACCCGAGGGCAAGGGAGTGGTTGAAAGTGCGCGAGGCATGATAATGAGACACTTCTAGCATCTTCTAAGGAAAAAACGAATTCACATCAAAATGATTGGGATCATGAGACTTGCAGGTATGAGACTGCATGGTTGAAGGAATCCTTATAAGGATTAATTGGTACTACCTATACCAACAAGATGCATCTTTTTTTTGGTAGCTCGTTCTATAAGAACTCCATAGTTAACTGCGCTTGCCTTGGAGTAGTATTGGGATGGGTGACCTTCTGGAAAGTTTCCCGGAAAGCGTGTGAGTAAGGACAAAGCATACTGAAAAGACCCGTGTTGGTTTGTGGGATCAGTCGATAATCCCGAAAGAAGTATGGGGCGTTACACAAATGTTGATCCCCTACTCCATGACAACCAACTCTACGCCTTCTCTGGGCCATATCCTACCAAGTGGTCGCAAGCTTCAAAGGTTTCTCACCTTTTTCCAGGTTACTTGTACATCATGCCTACTGCGTTTGAACGACGGGATCTTGATTTGTCCTTTATGGTCAAGCTTAATCATATTTTCAATATGCTTCACCGGCTCCCACAAAAGAATACCTGGTGTAGCTTAACAAGGTCCAAGAAAAGAAGAAAACACACTAGGAAAACATATGCATCTATGACATGGCCAATTTGTCTAGACTTGGCCCCAAGTACAACTCTTGCATGCTGCTAACCTCACTTTTCTTTTGGGAGGGTTCGACAAACACTTTCCAATTCCCTTGTAGCACGTTGATGCCGATATTGTTCGACGTTACTTCCATCACAGGTTTGAATCCTGTTGGTGCCACTTTTTTTTCGACATTGGAAACTTTGCATGAGTTCACCATTGGGCGCCCACCTACAAAAATTTCATCCAAAATCACCACGACACTGTTAGCCCAGATGTCTCCGACCAAGAGCACATCGCTTTCTTGGTGTTTTGGATATCCTATTATGTCTTATGCTCTAGTTCTTTACAGGTGGCGAAGAAGTTCATCTCTCTGGACATCCAACTTCATGTGGGACACAAGTTTTTCTTCAGCAAGTTGCTCTTGGCTAATCTATACAGTTTCTTGGAGAAGCCTCCAACAAACTCAAACATCTTCCTAAGAACTCTAAAAGTAAGTCTTTTTCCCTCTCTGGCCTCTTTTAGCTCTTACAGTTATGGTTGAACGCCACTTTCGAACCTCGACTCTATGTCACTGATTCTCTAGCCCTAATGAGGGCGGCTGAGCAAAGGGCCATCGAAGGCACGAAGTTGGCTTTACTTACTCCTGA